TTGACAGGGCTTACCTCAAAATGTCAGCGCGCAAGCATTTTGTCCAAACCTTTCTTGAGGGGCAATAGATTTGTGATCAGGTCACCCCGCGTTGGCGCCTGATCATGTCGCGAAGACCCAGTCATGATCACGGGTTTACATAGGCCCGAAGTTACCCCACATCGTTCGACGTCAGGTTCCTGACCATTCATCCATACTTCCATCCATCTATCCACCTACCCACCATTCATCCACCTACCATTCGTCCTCCTACCATTCATCCTCCCACCATCCATCCTCCCACCATCCATCCTCCCACCACCATCCTCCTACCATCCATCCTCCTACCATTCATCCGCAATCCATTCACTAGCGGGAGGTCCTCACAACGCGACAGAAGCCTACCACTCTAGAGACATTTGTAGCTGCATGAAAACGTAACATACGAAATGCAAGGTGGCATCCCAAAAGCTAGGCCTCAGAGAAATACTCCAGGCCGGACTGCATTAGCATAGCCAGGAAAGCCTAATTGCGAGAATATGCCCGAGGCTGCGTCGACCAGGACAGCGGGCATAGCTAGATCCATGGACAGATCCCCGACGAGCCCCAAACGACGGACGAGCGAAGCCAGGATGCCAAGCATACTGTCTCGGGATGTAGGTTAACTTTCATCTCAGTGAAAGCTATGGCCGTAACTGAGAACGCTCCCGATGAGACCAGCTCTTGCCTAATAGAAGGGGGTTAGTATGACTCCTCTTTTAACATGCTGTGGCTAGACCCAACGGTAGTAAGCTATATCGAGTCCTCTAATTAGACCTGTAGCTGATTCGAAGTGAGGTATGTTATGGGTTCTTAAGGTAGAGCTTAAAATATATAAAACCGGCCGTTTGCCTAGTTCTACTAGTGAACGCCTGTATAATAGTACTCTCTAAATTATAACTCTATATATAGCTCTTATTTTTGCTATATTACTTTTTAAAATCGGTTAATAAGTTTATCCTAAACTATTATTACCCTTGATTTATTAATTACTACCTATATTTTATTTGATACTTTTTAAATCGATATTATGTACTATCTAAGTACTACCTAGGTCTCTGTAATAAATATTTTTTTCTTTAGTCTCGCTAGTGTTATAACGGCGTTATACTAGCTTCTTAATAGTACTTTAGATAGCTTTGCTATGACGTTATGTGTTTACGGACTACTTATTTTTAGTAATAAGTTTATATATAATACCGTGGGAGGCTTTATAGATATTTACTTAAGTTAGTGGTCCTTTTTTTTTAATGCTTTAATATAGTATTAATATCCCTTAGTATTTAGAACTGACGTTTACGATCCTAATAAAATGTACGATATATTTAAATATTGGGTTTTTTTTTAAGATTTTACTAAAATAGCCTGTTTATTTTTTATTAGTGTTAATAGTAGGCGAGGACGAGCCCTGCTTTATTTAAACTACGATATAATAATTAAGAAGCCCCTCCGATTTATTCCGTAGAGAGAATGAGTATATTTTTAGTATAGAGGGTATTTATTTTATTTATAATATATATAAAACGAGGTAGTATTATTTTTTTATAAAATAATAACTATTTCTTATATTAGCGGTTCTTCCTAAGTCTTACGAAATTTTATAAGTAAATACCGCTTTAAATACCTAAAAATATTAGAAAATAAGACTTTAATTTTTAAGTATTATAATAATAGTTAGAAAAGAATTATAATTTGAGAAATTAGGCCGATTTAAATTATTATTATAAAAGAAGAGTTAACGTAAACGCTACTAGATAATATTTATAACTTTTTTAATTTTAATACTCTTTTTTAGTATACTAATTATAGGTAGTTATACTAGAGAGGCTATTTATTATACGGCTACCCGGGAACTAAAAAGTCGAGCTTTAGTATATCGGTTACCAGGTACTTCGGTCTTAATATTTATATCGTTAGTTTTGCTAATATTAACGATATAAGGTTTAAAGCCTTATTTACTAACCTTTCCCGGCACTACGTCGTTTTACTTAAAGACGTTAACGTAGTTAGTATAATACGAGCTCATAATACTAATAATAATAAATCTAATTTAGGTATAAATATATTATAAAGCTTATTAAAGTTTTATAGACCTTTTTTATTATTTAGATTACTTAACGTTTTTAATAGCGTAGCTTTATAAAATAGCCGTATTTTTATTATAATAACGAACTATATTAAGTACTTAGATAACGCTCTAATACGACCTAGCTACGTTAATAAAAAAATTAAGTTCGGACTTATTAATATAGAGGTAATTTAGAAGCTATTTTATATTATTTTTAAATATTTAGAAAAAGAGATACTTAATATAGAGACCTAAGATAAAAATAACGCTAGTATATAGTAGCTAGTAGTTAAATTTATAAGTATTATATTAGAGTTATAATTTAGCCCCGCTAATATTTTATTATTTTTTTTTATAAATAGGGGCTCGCTATTAAGCACTTTAATTAATACAGAAGGATAGTTACTTAGAACTAAAAAGGCTAGAATACTTAAGCGTTATGATTCTTAAGTTTAAAGTAACTAACTATAGGATAACTTATTTAAGATATCCGTAACGATTATTTTATAGCTCTAAAATAGAAATAAGATTTATCTCTAAATTCTTTTTAAGTCTAAGCCCGACTAACTAAATATAAGTATAAGAACTACTATTATAGCTTATACTACTTTTTAGATTTACTTTACTACTAACTACCTAAAGTATAATACCTCTAGATTATATAATCTATCTAGCTTTACGTCTATTAAGTTTGCTATATATATTCTTTTAGTTAGATATCTAAAAAATATAATAAGTTATTTACGAAATCGAAATTCTAGGACTAGTAGCCTTAGATAAGACCTACATTAGGTATACTAGTTAAGTCTAGAAATTCTTAGTTACTATATATCTCCCAAACCTCCTTACTTTAGAACTCCTAAAATAGAGCTTTACCCATTATTATATAATAAATTATTAATCCTAGACTAAAGAGGTCGCTTTTAATTATTAGGCTCCGTTATAAGGAGCGGTTTAATAAAGGGGCTACATATTAAGTACTAGGGTTAATTTTAATATAAGAGCCGTTAACGGCTAATTTAAAAAAGTTAATAATTTTAAAACGTAAACGGTTATTTAAAAGGAAATTATGCGGCCTAATATTATAATAAAGAATAGTAAAACTATATAAAAGCTTAACTAACTTAATAGCTTTAATTACTTATTACTATCGCTATTTAATAAATATATTTTTATAAGACTTAAGAAAGTTTTTAAGGGTTCCGTTAGGCATATTTTCTAAAGTTAAAGTATATTTATTTAAACTCTAAGCTTTCTTTTTTATTAAATAAGGATATTTATTAAGTTAATTATATATCTTAGCTTCTATAACGATTTTACAACGTTACTAGTGGGCGCAGTTACTACTAGGCTAGGCTATTTTAATAATAGTGCTATTAGGTAAACGCTTAATATAAGATATTAAGCCTATTACAACAAATTCGCCCTTTTAATTTAAAGAAGGGATTTCTTTATCGTAACTATCACTTATATAATTAGCTAAGCTCAGCTTAGTATAGTTATTAAATATTTTTAAGTAAGGACTTAAGAAGTAAGGTTTGCCTATTTATAATAACTTAGGTGGAAAAATAGAAAAATAAGAGGGTTTATATAAGTGCGGTTCTTTTGTAAGCACCTTTTAATTAGAAATAATAAAGTAGCGTTCTCTATAGCGGGAGGCGTTTGTATAGAACGGGGGGGGGGGGCGCGGGGGGCTTAGTTACTATATAAGTAGTACTAAGCCGTTACCCTAACTTAGTTAAGGCGACGCTTCTTAAGCAACGCTTCTATATCTAAAACGTTTTATTTAAATAAGACTATAGTATTTAGAAAACTAAAAGAAATAGTATTTATTATATAATATCCATTACGCTTCTACTAAAATAAGTATTTATAGCCTCGTTAATAAGGCCTAAGGTATAGCTTAAGAACATCCGCTATTAGGGATTATTAATATATATTAATGTGTATATTAAGTAAACGATTAGTAGTACTACCGATATATACAGGATAGTAATAAGAATCGAGCCTAGTATTAAGATATTCTAAACTTCGCTAGCTACGTAATAACTAGAGAAGTTTTATATATTTAAATGCGAAACTAGCTATTTTAGTAAATGTTCGTCTCTTTAATAATCTTGTTAAATAAGAACTAATCTATCCGACGATTTTTAAGTCGGGACTTATTACTAACTATAACTTTTGTCTTGATGTTAGGGATATTAGACTCTAGACGTTATCTTATTAGTGGTAGATGATGTCGGGTTTGAATAAGTTATACCCGAACTAATTGTAGTAGGATATTTTATTAGAAAAGTGCTAGATATGTTATACGTTTCGGGGTAACCCGTATAGGAGGTTTTAGTAGTTATGCTAGTATATATTCTATATCGTTAGCTGCCCATTAGCTAGTTGCAGTTTCTTATTAAATATACTTGATATATATCGGGTTAGGGTTCTTGGAGATGAACGTATATGAAAAGGTTACGTAAGTAGAGAGAGTCGTGTAGAAGAGTCTTGTATAGCTGTTCTATGGTATGGACCAACGGGAGACACAATTCATAAGCCCTTCCTGCTTGGGATTCTTACACTGAGTTGCAGACCAACAGCGCCTTGTTCTTCCAGGCCGCATCGGCGCGTCGATCCCAACTGAGCTCACCAGCTAGGAGGGTCCGGATATCTGCATTGTTACTAACCGGAAGAAGGGGAAATAGGCACGGTCCTTTTCCTAAATTGCAGCCCGCCGCAAGGCCGGCCAACCAGAGTGCCCGGCTGGGATACGGGGAACCAGAAATGTCCGTTTTGCCAATAGGTGGGTTGCTACTAGCGCCATGCTAAGCGGATCAACGGCTTCCACGAACGACCTGCACATGTCCACGTCCAACAATGTGGGTCTCAACCCCACCCTGAAAGCTGAGTATCTTATGCTTCGTCCATAGCGCTATCTCGTTTATGGCGTGAAGGCAGCCATGGGCTGAATCACACCCTTTGGCTCAAACATGAACATGGTACTTGACCCCATCCGATATCGACATTCTAGCGGCTCAGTGAACGGCAGGGCACATTTTCCGACAAGCATTCTCTCTCAAGCAGTAAGCTCGCACAAGCTTGCGGATCATCCTGTTGGACTGATAAGCGAGTAGTCCATGAGAAACTGTTGGTTAGGATCGGTTTCGTCCCCTGTTACGTGCGGCTTAGGTGAAGCAAAGCCAGAGATCAATGACGTAATATCCAAGGGCAATAGCCTGGGAAGCTTATGCCCTTAGGCTTGCCTTGTGGCATGTTCATAGTAGCCTTGTGAGAAGGGTGTGAGGCCGGTCACAGCTTTACATAGCGGACACGCGCAAAAGTGTATCGGCCATTTGAGTGCGAATTCGAAGAGAAAAAAAAATGAACAAGAACCATCCAGTACTCTTCACGGGGAGGCCGTGGTATTTATTAATTCTGGCGTAAGCCATTTCTGGAGTAATTAACCTGGATCCCCTGCTAGTGCCATGCGCGATGCCGAGAGTAGTGCACTGTCACACTGAGTCCGCGCGCTCGTAGATCCAAGAGAGCTTACTTGAAGAGGACATGCGTTTTGCACGTACAGTATGTAGAAATCAAATTTGGTCTCTGCCTTTGTAGATACTGTAGGATTTATTTTGTCCATAGATGTCTGTGGATCCGTTTGCTAATAGGGTATATGATAATGCCTTTTTAATGACTACTATAGCTAAAGTTAGAAGTTGCTTTTATACTATGTTTAGGGATTAGACCTATGTTATATAATTTAATATCTATAAACGGTGATAGTAACTGCAGTTTTTATTGTAGAGGTTATTAATGAATGTACTTAATAGGTCTTAGTATGTATTCTATTAGTAAAGAGCTCTATATATGCTTATGTATAGAATAATTCCTATTTATTAAGACGGGAACTAAGTTTAATTTTTATAGTAGGAAGCTAAAAGTGAATAATATTATAATCGTGTCCTTTTTAGCTTAGTTATTATTAGTAGGATGAAGTACTATTATTACTAGGTAAGTATATCCCTAAGATCGATATATTATTTATTAATAGTCTCTTTTTATACTATCTAGTTTAGTCTTAGCTATATAGTATTTTATGCGTAATGTTATTTACTGTTTATAGCTGCGGTTAGTAAAGCGTAATTAACTTAATATTTTAAGCGCTTATTAAAGTAATCCTTGATAGCTTCTTTTACGAGTTTTATATTATAGAAGTATAGCTGGGTTTTAACGCAGTTTTACGATATTACTTAGGAAATTTTTATTATAATAAGCGTTTAGCGCTATACTATTTAAAGATATAATCTAGCTATGTTATTGTTTATATATAGATATATTTTGAGACGCGGCTAGGTAAATGGGAAAGAGCTTGCTTAATAATTACGGAGTTTATTGGAGTTATAGGGAAGTAAAGTATACTTAGTAATACTAGTAAATATAGCGCGCAGTATAGGCTAGTAATAAGCTTTATTAAATATATAAAGAGACCTATTATAATAGTTTTTTGACTCTCTAAGCTAATGAGAGTGTGTATAAAAAGAGAATTAACGTATTATTATAGTTATACTATGTTTTGCTGAGAAGTATTGTTCGATGCTTTGTTATATGTTACGGGTCGGTTATATAGTAGCTTGGGGTTCGGTTTTCTAACTGAATATTGTGCCTTTTAGCCCGCTAGCTTAACGGTAGTAAACTTAAGTACTATTATTCCGTTATATTATAAATAGGAAAATTATATACGTGTTTTGACTAAGTTTACTCGTTACTAAAGTAATTATACGCTTAAAAGCTAGAAATATACTCTATTACTTCCTCTAACTCGTTTTATAAGACTCTTCTTACCTTACGTTTTTAAGAACGCTAGCTAAGTATAGTAAGTATTTACTATGTTATAGCTTGCTATTCCTTAATAAAGAAAAACTATCCGCTTAGGTTTAATAAGTTAAGGAGTATTTATTATATACGTATAGCGGGTAACCTAAGCCGTATTTTAGACTATAGGATAACTTTGTTAATTAGCTTATATAGGATAATCGATATTAAAATAGGCTTAGTAGCGCAGAGCTAGCTTATTAGAGTTAGTTAATATATATTATTATCTGTGTATTAGTATTTATATGTAAATATAGAGGCCTATATAAAAGCTATTAGGGCCTACTTTGTGTGCTATCTATGCTAGCGTCTATGTGTATGCTATCCCCTGTATCTAAGGTCTGTTGCTATCTGTGTGCTAGTACGAACACTACCGTACCGTGGTATTGAGTGCAATCGTGCTAGTACACTGGTGGTTGTATAGGCGCTGCTATGTACCGCCGAGTGGTTGTATTTGTACTAGCTTTTTTGTGCGACCACTAGTGTGCTAGCACGATTGCACTTAATGCCACAGATGCGGGCAGTACTTGCCTGACGTGACCCCTGTTTATTAGTATCTGTATGCTAGCATCTATATGCTGGCATTTATGTGGTAGCATTTGTGTGGTAGCATCTGCCTTCTCAGTGCGAGCCATCTGTCTTCCTGGCGTCGTTCCCTTGGGCAATTCTGGACCAACAACGCTCCTCTGCATAATCTTTTGGCGCCATCTACTCTGTGGTAACTGTTCCTGGTAACTGTTTGGACCCTCCGCTCTCTGTCCTCGTTGAAGTAGTTACTGAGTGCGCTTCGTCATCTGGATCATCGGCTTAGACACAACGAAGCAAGCCAAACTACGTTCAAAAT